TGCGGATTGTGTTTGGTCGTTTTATGTGTGCGTTTGCCTCTTATTTTTATTTTTATTATTTTGTTTTGAAAGAGTTATGTTTGTGTTGTACGGATGTAATTTGAGGCGATTATTTTTTTTAATTTTTTTATGCCTTCTGTTCTTATGGACTGCCGTAATGATGGATGAATTGGGAGTTCTGTTGTTGTCGGTGTATGTGTGGGTGCATTTGGCACCACTTCTCTTCTTTTCTTTTTGTTTTCTGTTATGAATGATGATTGGAGGCCCAGGAGCCGATTGGGGTTTGCGGAGGATGAATGGAATAAATTACACTTCTGTCCGATGGAAGTGCAGGAAAGTTATTTAATCTAATTTTTAGTTTTTTTTTTTTTAATTTTCTTTTTTTTGTTTGCGTTACTTTTTCATTGTATTGGTGCGGTGGTGTCTGTTGCGTTCTGGCCATGTTGTCTGCGTTGGTACGTCTTTCTTTGTGTTTTGGATGCTTCTTGACTCTTTTTTTTTTTTGCATTTCATTTTGAGGTGGCTGGTGGAACAGTTTGTGTCTATTCAATTCACTTTATCGAGTATCACAATATTGTTAAGATGCGACGTGCTGTTGTTGAGCGAACAGAGAAGAACCACATTGGTTTTGGAAAAATTATTCTCTTTGGGGAGCACTTTGTTGTCCATGGCGCGGAGGCTCTTGTGGCGGGGATTGACGAGTACACCTCATGCCGACTGGAGCTGACGAAGGGGCAGCCGGGGATTTGTGTTGTGGACGGTCGTCCTGCTGTGCCTGGGTATATTGTGGAGAAGGCTGAGGAGCAGCGTCTTGCCCATCGCCTGGTGTTCCGTCACTTGAATATTGATACCAGTGTTGACGGTGTGCGCATTCATTTGGGTGGGCCACTTGTTCCAACGAGTGGCATTGGGGCTTCTGCCAGCGACGTTGTTTCCCTCTCACGTGCGTTAAGTGAGATGTACGGTTTGGATTTGACCGAAGATGAAGTGAACCTCAGCGCTTTCGTTGGAGAGGGTGGCTACCACGGCACACCCAGTGGGGCAGATAATACGGCCGCGACATTTGGTGGACTCATTTCATATCGACGTGTCAATGGTGTGTCGAACTTTTCTCGTGTGCTCATTACAAGACCGCTGTTTCTGGTGGTGTGCAGCACGGGTATTACGACAAGTACCACCAAAGTCGTTGGGGAAATCCGAGAGCTGAAGGAAAATAACCCCACATGGTTTAATGCCCTATTGGAGCGCTACAATGCGTGCGTAGGGGAGGCCAAGGCGGCCATGGAGGTTGGGAATTTGTTTCGTATGGGGGAGTTGATGAACGAGAACCATAAACTTTGTCAGGAGCTCACCGTTTCCTGTGCAGAGCTTGATACTATTGTGAACTTTTGCTGCGAAAATGGCGCACTTGGTGCAAAGATGTCTGGGACCGGACGGGGCGGGCTTGTCGTTGCGTTGGCGGCCGATGAGGCGCAGCGCGATGGCATTGCGGATGCCGTAAGGCAGCGTTGCCCTGCCGCAAAGTTTGTCTGGAAATACACTGTGTGCCCTAGAAGTGCCAAAATTTAGCACCGCCCCTACGCGTGTGGGCGTGTGGTCGCGGGAGGGATGGCGGGAAGTTTTTTTTTTTTCTGCCATCGCCATAAATTGATTGAATACGTGGGAGGTGGTAAGTGGTGGTGGCGGGATTTCCACGTCAAATGGAGCGGCGGTAACGGCGGCGGATTCTTCTGCACGATGCGGGCATTATTTATTATTTATAATAATAATTATTTTTGTTAGTGGATCTTTTTGTTTAGTGATGGGTAACATTTAAATATAAAATGCTTTTATTTATTTATTTATTTTTAATAAATTGTTTTTTTTCTTTCTTTTTTACCGTTGTGGATGCGTGCTGCCGTTTTCATTGCTCTTTCTTCACCCCCCTCCTTTTTTCCTCGTGCTCCTTTGTGTCCCGCTCTTTGCTTGATCGTTGGGCCCAACCTGCCCACAGCGTACGTTTGTGTGTGTGTGTGTGTGTGTGTTTCTTTCTTTCTGGGCTCTGCAGGTGAATAAATAGATAAATATTTACATATCGATAGGAATGCAGCCCGGCCTGCAGAAACGGACGTTTGCGCGCGGTCCTGCGGTGGCGGAGGCTGACACTTTTGCGAAGGATTTCAATGCGATTTTTCGCATTCAGAACATTCGCCAGACGCTTTGCAGTATTGTTTCCTCACGTGCTGCCTCCTCTCAACGTGACTCGACGCCACGCGATGAGACGCCACACAATCTGCGGGGCCTAAGTACGGAGGGAACGTTGATGTCACCGCGTGGGCCTCCGGCTTCTGCCGCGGGGCGTTTTCTTGTTTCGTCTCAGCGCCGTGTGGAGGAGCTAATGCGCGAGAACCACCGACTGGAGTTACTCTGCATCACACAGGAGGAAGCCATGAACCAGTTGCGTGAGGAGCCAGTCCCGGTCGGGAGAGAGCAGTCTAGTGAGGTCGCAGGCGGTTCGGCGAAGCTGGGGCGATTGGGTCGATGCAAGACGCCTTCTTTAAGCCGCAGGAGTCAAGCGACACGTTCAGTCGCGGAGGGCGGTGACGCAACGGGGACCGTCGATGCATCGCAGTCGCCGCCAATATCGAGTAGGGTTGTTGAGGCCGTACAGCACCTTGTTGACACCGCGATTTGTGTGTTTCCACGGCTTCTTTCCAATGCTGAGACCCCCGGAGACGACGCCGGGAGGGAGCTGGACACCACCTGTGCCGTGTTTGAATTTGTGGTGAGCAATCTTTCTGACTGGGAACGCCTTACCAGAGAGTCGGCCGAGATGAGGAGGGTGAATGCAATTCTTTCTCGGACAATCGCAGATCTGGAGGAGAAGCAAGAGGCCTGGCGTGCCAAACTTCTCTCCATCGTGAAGCGATTGCAGGCGACGGAGGCAGAGCAGCGGCGGAGTATACAGGTGCGGGATTGTCGTATAGATGCGCTACAGGCGCAAGTAGACTCCCTCACAGCAGATGTCACATGTGCCGTGGAGCAGCGGGATCAATACATGCTCCGCTGCGGGGATCTTGAGCGGTCTATCTGCTGCCGCCTCGAGGAACAGCTAACAGAACGACAAGAGGCGGATAGAGTGCAGCGTGAGTACGAGGCGCTGCGTAGCGAGCTGAATTCACTCTGCAAATCGCTGCCTAAAGAAGTTGCCGCGCCTTTCACTGCCGAGGAGGGCAATGAGGGGGAGCAGCAGGCACGCACGGGGTTGGATGTGTTGAAACTCCAGGCGACTATTGATTCTCTCATGGACGAGAGGAGGGCAATGCAAAAACGGCTTGATACCCTTGCGGGCTCACTCGCCGAAGTGAATGAACGTGTGTTGTTATTAGAGGAGGAGAAGAGAGAGCTCTCACAGCAACTGAGATCAAAGCAAAATGAGGTTGAACATGCCCATCAAGAACTGGAGGAACTGAAGCGTTTTCCTTCTCCTTCTGCTGCTGCTGCTGCTGCTGCGTTGTCTGACGAAACTCCAGTGGCAGCTGAAAAAGTTTACCACGCCGAGGGGTCACACCAACGTTGGTTTTTGCGGCCTGTTGAGTACTGCCAGTTTGACGGGAAGGAGTTGTCCACGCCTGTCGTGGATGTCTCCTCCATTCTCCGTGCACTTGACACCGACATTATTGCTTTTTCCAATAGAAACGAGCATGTACGCAAACCAGGGCTCTTTTTTCAAATTGGGTGCGGCATTGCGAAGGAGCTGGAGTTATTTAACAACTTATCTTCGACCTCCCTAGGAAAGTGGAAGCTGTTCCTGTTGCAGATACAGGACGGCTTTAGGGACCCCGAATTCTACACGGCTGACCACGCGGCTGAGTGTGCCCAGTTCTTTTATGCCCTTTTGTTTCACTCCGGAATGATACCACACATGAGCCATGCGGAGTTGTTGGCCGCTGTGACGGCTGCACTCTGCATGGAGTATGGCCATCCAGGTGTTTCAGGCTGCCTTCTTTCCGCAGCGCAGGACCCTGCGGCCGCTGGCATTCATAGCTGCCTTCTACTAGAGCACCGGCGCTTAGAGAGTCTTGGCGAAATTTTTTCACAGGAGCAGTTTTTTTTCTGTGATCATCGGTTGGCGACTGTCTCGCTTCTGGATGATGTGAAGGCTTTGCTTCTTCCGGACGGATGGCATGGGGAGTGCAGCGGCGTGATGCATTCTTGTCTCAAGCTTCTGTCGAGTGGGCCATTGCGGATGGAGAGTGAGTCCGTGCGCTGCCAGCTTGTTCAATTGCTGCTGAGGTTGGCAAAGTATGCTTTTTGCATGCGTGTGTTTGATGTGAATGACCGATACTCGGGGAAGTGGTTTCAGATGATGCAGCGGCAGGCACAATTTGCTGCAGAAATTGGGATTTACGGGTTTGACTTGCCTCACAACGCACCCACCGTCGCGGATACACAACTGCTGCTGATGGAGCGTACAGTCCTACCGCTGTGCCGCATTGTGGTTCAGGCCTTCCCGTCGCTTTATCCGTGCGAGGAGGCACTACGAGCGAACTATGCCACATGGGTCTTGCGTGCTGGGCAACACCCAAAGGAGGGTGCTGTGGCGGAGGTGCGTGATTCATTCTCATTTTCTGCGGCCGATTTGCCGCATGTTGAAGGCATCACACAAGACGCTGCGGCCGCTGACAGCATTGACTCACGGGGTTTCGATGCTGCCCATCGAAACGTTTCACAACAATTAGAGAGTGGCTCCCTTCTTGTCAGCACCGCCTTATTTCTCTCCTCTCAAAAGGAGATGCTCTCTGTGTATGAAGAGAACGTGGTCCTTCGTGGCATGCTTGAGACACTTTTAGTCCCGGTTGAGACTCTCCCTGCATCTCAAGGAGCTGTCCCATGAGTGGTGACTCTGCTTGGCTTAAATATAGTTCAATACATCTACCATACATGTTGTGTATAAGACATGACATTTATGGCTGTATTTATGCATCTATACATGCATCTCTTATAGTACACAGCTTTCGTCTATGTTTCCGTTGTAGCGTCCGGATTTTATGTTGTTTGAGGAACAGTAGAGATTGGTTTCTATTTCTGTACCAATATCTTTTATTTTATTTTTTGCGATAACACGCATGATGTGCCCTCACAGAAAGAAAAGGAAGAAGAAAGAAAAAAAAAGAAGCCACAGAAAGCGATAGAAGAAAAAATGAGTGTTTCTTCTGCAAGCGTCTTATTTTCCGCTAGTGAGCTGAGTAATTGTATGCGTGTGCGTATGGTGGTGGTGGCGGCTGAATGGAAGCTTCTACTTTCATTTTCTTCTTTTTTTTCTTTTTTTGGTTTGCTTCTTTCCGCAGCCTCCAAAAGGAGTTTTAAGAAATAACCCCTCAAATAAAAGTAAAGCGGACCACTTTGAAGAAAAAAAGAAAAGATATTTTTTTTTCTTTTTTGCCGGGGCCACCGCGATTGCGTCGATGTCACTTCTTAGCCTCTGCAGGGATTACGTGGCGGAACGGAGCCGTGACCGTCTGCTTCGGCGATTTTTTTCTGGGAGCATCGCAGCTTTTCTTTTGCTGCTGGTGTTGTCGCCGGGCAGTCGCATTGCCAAAACAGTTCACGGACCCCAAAAGAGGAAACTGTTGGAAGTCAAAAGGCAGCGAGGTTCAATTTTTTCCGCGAATGCGCATGAACGACCGCGCCTGTCCGTTTACAGAAGATTTCTTTTTCTGCTACGAATAGCCGTGCCGTCTTTGAGCTCACGGGAAAGCGGAACGCTAATGATCATCTCGTCACTGCTGCTGTTGCAGACATATCTCTCACTGCGTGTCCTGAAAATAAGCGGGCAATTGGGTAAGACGGTAATTGCCTGTGACCTTGTGGCCATGGCAAAAAAAATTGTAGTGTTCCTGGCGTGGTGCCTTCCTGTTGCCCTCACAAACAGCTCCGTGAATTACTGCGTGGGGATTCTGGCGCTGCAGCTTCAATCAAACCTGAGCCGCTACTTTTATCGACGGTATTTGAACCAGAAGGTGTTTTATCCTTTGGCCAGCTCGCACTTTGTGGAGGAGGTTGACCAGCGCATGACGAAGGATATTGAAAGCTGGTCTTTGTCTCTTACAAGCATGTATACATGTCTTTTTAAACCTCTTTTAGACGTTGCGCTGTTTACGTATAAAGTGGCGTCCATCACTGGTGCTTGCGGCTCCCTGGCTATTCTAGGCTACCATACCGGGTTTGTGGTGTTTGCCCATGCGTTTTTTCCGGATTTGGAGGGTATTGTGAGTGAACAAATGGCACGGAATGGCGCCCTCGTAACGGCCCACCAGCGTCTTATGTTATATGCGGAAGAATATGTCATGACGCAAGGACAACATTTTCATCGGTCTCTCATGGAGAAATATCTTGCATCTATCATTGAGCATGATCAATGGGCCTCCTACGTGCGTGGTGGCTACAACATCATGGAGATATTTTTCCTCAAGTATGGATCACTCTTACTTAGCTCCATTATCTGTGGAGCAGCTGTGTTTAATAAACATACGGAGGGAATGTCTGCGGCAGATCTTATGGCATTTTTTGTGGAGACATCATATCTTGTCAATAAATTGTCCTTTTCTATTGGGAGCATCCTCAAGAATCTCCGGAAAATTTTTGTTTTGCATGCGCTAACGAACCGTGTGTATGAACTGCAGGAAGGGATCGAGAAGGCGATTGAAGACGGGGCGGGAGCCGTAGCGGGTGAAATGGTGAGAGGAAATTACATTGAGTTTGACCGTGTCCCGATTGTCTTGCCGACCGGTGAAGTCTTGTGCGAAGAGCTGTCGTTTTACGTGAAACCAGGGATGAATCTCCTTGTCGTCGGCCCGAATGGCTGCGGGAAGTCTTCCATGGTCCGACTATTGGGCGGACTGTGGCCACTTCAGAGTGGCCGTATCATGAGGCCGCGGAATGATCAGATTTATTACGTGCCGCAGAGACCGTACATGTCGAATGGGACCCTGCGAGACCAAATTACGTACCCGCTGAAGAGCAGCGAGGTCGGTGCTAGCGAAGCGACGCTGCTGCACTGCCTGGAGCTGGCCGTGTTTGACGACATTTTTGCAAAGCCGAATATTACGTGGGACTCGTCTCTCTCGTGGGCGGGTGACACGCTGTCGATGGGGGAAAAGCAGAAACTGGCCATGGCACGGCTCTTCTTTCATCGACCGCGTTTTGCCATTCTTGATGAGTGCAGCAGCATGATGGACGTGGAGGTGGAGGAGAGGCTGTACAGCGTGTGCCACCAGCTTGGCATCTCCCTCATCACCATTGCCCATCGCCGCTCCGTCTGGAAGCATCACAATTGGATTCTCCGCTTTGACGGCTGCGGCGGATTTTTGTTTTCGCCCATTACATTTGTTGCGGAGGGGGTCGTTATTCTCACAAATGTCGTCAACGCATCCGAGCCGTTTATGGTGGGGGAGGAGGTGCGGCTTGACTTGTCCCAGTACGATGTGTGAGCGGCCAATTCTTGTGCGTGTTTGATTATTATTATTATTTTTTTGGCCGTTACGCTTTTTGCGGAGCGAATTACATCTTTTGCCGGCTTTTCATTTCTGTGAGAAGAGCGCGATATCTACAAGACTTGTATTTTCACGGCAACCACACAGAGAGGGATGCATATTATTTCCCTTTGGTATGCCGTGGGGACACGAGGGAACGTCATCGCGCCGTCACAACACCCTGCGGTGTTTTTGTTTGTTTGTTTGCCGAGTGGATAACAGACGAGCACAACAAGTGACACCCCGTGTGCGTGATGTCTTGTGTGGAAAATACTCCCAGCTGTGGACGGCGTGTTCCTGCTTGACATCCAGCACCTCCTGCCCACACCACGGCTCAGTGACAAGTCTCCACTTGCCCCTATTATTTATTTATTTATTTATTTATTTTTGACAGCGGAGCCGAGCGCAAACCACCGAAAAAAAAAACAACGGACATTCCTCATAACAAGAAAATAAGGTTTATGTCAACAGAAGTCGGCTATGGGCTTTTCTGTTGGGTCTGTGGGATGCATGGCAGGCGAAACCGTTGTTATATATATATAAATTTTTGTAATGCATGTAGGGACCACTATTTTTTCCTATCTTTTTTTTTTTGCATTTATTCTTTCTGTCGACATGTCATTTGATGGTCGGCTTTTTAAAGCTTTTCTTTTGCCTTTTTTTTGTCCTTTTTTTCTTTAAGGAATATTTAAAGCAGTAATTGGTGCTTGACGGCGGCAGGATGGCAATGGATAGCGCGGAACTCTCTCAACGGGACACGGCGGTGTTGGGTGGTGAGCTTTTTACACCTGCGGAGGGCATGTGCACAATTCTCGGGCCGCTTGAGGCTGGGGAAACATACGCGCGTGAAATCCTGCGGAGGCAGTGGTTCCGTGGTTTTTCTGCGCTTAAAGCAAAGTCAGATTTGGAGCAGGCCGGGATGGCGATGCTGAGGAAACACGGACTGGGCACGGAGGACCCGCGGGAGAGCGATGGAGCGAATGAAGAGAAGGAGGAGGAAGAAGAAGAAGAGCTGCACCAGCGGCAGCGACACGTAGGAATGGCGGCAGAGAGGTTTAAACAGGAACGAAAACGAGGAGAGTTGCTCTACGAAGAACGCAAGGAGCGACAGGAGATGGAGTGGGAGGAATTTGAAGGCATCTCCGGGCTACAGCTGCAGATGGAGGAGAATTTGAGTCGTCTGGCGCAGGAGGAGGAATCCATGGCAATGCTGCAGCTTATCCACGATGTGATGAAGCCAAAGTTTCGTCAGCGATACATCTTTGCGTGGGGGATTGTCACAGCTGTGGCGCATCCACCCCCATGGAGCGAGTTGGATCGCATCCGATGCAGCCAACGCCACAAACCCGTCTACATGCGTTTCCCACCGCTCACGTGCCAAATTCCCATTGAACCGAATCCATTCTGGAATTCATTGGAGTCCTACACTGGGCCCGCCGGTTTGATTCGGATGTGATTGGAGTGGATGGTCTTGGAATGTTCTTTTTTTTTTCGTTACTATACAGGAGAAGCGTATGTCATTTACTCATGTCCCCTCCTTTTTTTTTTTTTTTTCTCCTCTACCCACACCAAGAAGGGAAGAAGAAGAAGAAGAGGCAAAAGGAAAAAAAAAAAATTGAAGTTTTTGGTTTTTGTTTTAGTTTCAGTAGTTCATGTGCCCTTTATTATTATTATTATTTACGGGCACTTGTTGTTGAATGGAGGAGCATTTGCTTTTTTTTTTTTTTTTATGTTTATCCTTTTTTTTTTTTTTTTCGGTGCTTCTCTGTTTTTCTTTGTGTGCGTTTGTCAAAGTTTTTATTTTTATACTTCTCTTGGGGTTTTTTATTTGCGTTCCTTTAGTTATGGGCACGTTGGTGAGTTCCTGCTGGAAGGTGACGCTACGCATAAACACACACACGAACACACACACAGAGAGAGAGAGAGCGAGGACGCCAACCATGAATTTATGAACGCCGTTTGGTGGCGGCGAATGTACAGAAATGAACGGTATTGTGGCTGTCGAAATGATTTTTTTTCTCTCCAATGGAAATGCCACTTTTATTTTTGGGAGGAGATTATTTCCTGTGAGCTTAATGTGTTAGCGCTCTCCCTTTTTTTTTTTTTTTGTGTGTGTGTGTGTGGACAAGAGGAGTGTAGGCCCTCTGGACGTGTCTGCTGCGTTGGAGGGGCTTTTCTTTGACAGAGGACACACGAGGTGGTTTTAATGACATCACAGGCAAATCCAGACGACGCCTTGTGCGATCATTACCTCCCGCGAAAGAAGCGGTTCTGCCGCTCAGAGAAGCGAGAGGGCAGCCGCTTCTGTCATACGCATGACACCTTCACTTCTTCTGCGGGTCCCCATGGCGGTGAGTGTGTCAGGGCGGAGGAGTGTGAGGGACGAACACGGCGTGTGCCTTGTCCGATCAACCCCAACCACACCGTATACGCGGCGCGGCTGCAGCACCATATACAAGTTTGCCCGGACTTGCGGTACGTGACTAGAAAGCTGCCGTATTACAAAGCGGATGCCAATGCGTTGCGCGGAAAGGTGTATTGTAGAGAAGATGACACACCTCATGAACGAATGACGCATCACCACTTAGATGCCGACAATCTTCGTCAGCTGATTGAGCGCGTGCGTCATTGCTACTTTTCCGTGATACAGCCTCAAATTGTACTGATGGCGGAGGAAATCTCCAACAATAATGAGGAAACATCTAAATCGACGTGTAACATGTCAGCTAAGCATGGCCCACAACACCGTGCACTGCTGCGCTGCTTGCAGAAAGCAATTGAGGGTTTTTTTAAGGCACAGACGCCAACAGAGAGTTCTGGAATGGCAGTGAAGGGATTTGTGGAATTTGGGGCGGGAAAGGGTGGACTTTCAGTGGCATTGCAGGACGTCTTGTTGTCCCATGCTTTTGATCTTTCAGGGAGTACTGTTGAGAAGAAGGAATTAGCTCCGGCTCAAGTGCACCGTAAACCACTCCTTGTGGTGGTCGATGTAGGCAACTTTCGACGTAAAGGTGATGCACGTGTTTCCCGAACCAGCCTTCCTCTCGTTCGACTGCGTCTTGACATCAAAGATCTCGAATTGGCAAAGGCCCTGCGTGACCCCTCCGTCTTTAAACGGGCGAGAGACGAAGAAAAGGTTAATGTAATCACATTATTGGATAACATTCATGCTGAAGGAATTCCAGAGGAGCGCTGGGTGGCTCTTGGCAAGCACCTTTGTGGTGCCTGTACAGACTTTGCTCTCTCATGCATCACATCGCCCAATCTTTGCACAGAGGGTCGTGCATCCGTTATTGCCGTGGTCTTTGCCACATGCTGCCATCACCTCTGTGAGTTGCGGCACCTCAATGCATTAGCATCCACGGAAGATGATCAGCAGGCAATCTTGCGTTTGCCAGGCACAGAATACACCATTTCCACTGCAGAGTTTGCAGCGATAGCATCTATGTCCTCCTGGGCCGTCAGTGGGACGGCTGTTGACAAGGAACGCCAAACTACAGGGGTTTGTTGTAAGCGTGTCATTGATGCTCTACGGATACAATACCTCAAACAAAATGGATATCGTTCCGCCTACCTTTGCCAGTACATTGAAAAGGGAATTACAGAAGAGAATGTCACCATCGTTGCCTTTCGGTAAATTGTGCTCATTTTAAATTCACTTGGAATAACCAGCATGAACCACTCTAATAAAGAACGTCACACTCCCGTATAATAAAGCAATGTTATCCATTAACGACGTCTAAAAATGGAAATGAATATTACATCTCTTTTCTACTTATTTCAATTTACACCCCATGAAAGACCTATAAATTCCACTCCACATACTACTTTTTGCGATCTCCCCGTTCTCTCTCTCCCACAAGGACGCAATAAGGATGCAATTCTCAGACAAATGGATGGCCTCGGTTGTCGGTGTCTGGTTTCTCCTGGTGCTGTTTGCAGTTTCTTGCACTCAAGAGATCGAAACCAACGTTGATGCTTACCTGGAGGATGACTTCGCCGCCAACTCTTCCCAGCAGCCCCAGTTACTCCCCCGCACCACTGACGGGGAGGCACTGCGATACGTTCCCCGCGATGTCGTGGACGCGTGGAAGAAGCGAGACTTTCTCATTGTTCTTGGCATTCCCACTGTGGATGTGGAGGCGAGGCAGCGGCGCCGCCACCTGCAGCGGTCGACGTGCTGGCGGTTCCCCGGAGTGGCGACGAGGGCGAACAACTTCACCGGTGCGATGCTCGTGCTGTACGTCCTTGCGCGGCACCCGTCGCACGGCCACAACTACTCTGCCACACTGCTGGAGGAGGCGGCGCAGTGGCACGACGTCCTTACAACCTCCATTGATGAGGGCCGCGTGACGACGAACAAAACCGTTGGTGGCTCCGGCTTTTGGGGCCTGGAGGCTGAGATTGGCATGAGCCGCAAGACATACTTTTTGTTTGACTTTGCCTTGCGCCTGTTCCCCACGGTCCCGTACATTGCGAAGGGTGACGACGACATGTTCCTTCGCGTGCCGCAGTACCTTGCCGACCTGCGCACACTCCCGCGTCGAAAGACATACTGGGGTTTTTTTTTGAGGTATTATCGCCGCAGGTTCTTAAAGTACATCGGTGGAATGTGTGCGACGCTTGCGAGGGACGTGGCGGAGAAGTTTGTGTCGTACAAGCCGTTGCAGCATCTGGTGCGTTTGCCGTACAGCAAGGAGAGGGAATCGGAGTTTCTGAGCCTGAACATGGATCACGAGGATGTGATGGTTGGCCGTGTTCTGCACGAGATGCGGTACAAGGACGTGGTCTTCTTTTCTGAAAGGCCATGCCGCTTTCATGACGTGCACGAAGGCTTTGGGGTAAAAAATGTCACTGAGAGTTCTGTTGTTGTGCACCATGTTTGGGAGAGTGAGTACGAAACATTGATGCAGCGCTTTGGGAATGACACCTCTCCTGCGCCCAAGCGCTTCAGGTGTAGCAAAGGATGGTACATTTTTGATTGTTAGCAGTAATTGTTATTTTGATCTTTGTTTGTGGAAGCGTGTGAAATGAGTGTTTGTGAGGGGACTGGCTGCCCATAGTAATGTATATCCAGATAGGACGAAGATATTCCGTGCGTTTTTTGCTTTATCCTTGGTTGGCCGCGATTCTAGGAATCGGGGAACCGAAAACCACCAGACTTACTTTATTTGTTTTTTTTATTTTGTTTTTCCGTCTTTTTTTTTTTTTTGTTGGTTGGTGGCGGGGCCCTGTGGCTGGAGGACTTAGAAGCTCGCCACTTTGTATGTAATGAATATCTCCAGTCCGAATTGACTGCAGGATGTCACGATGGTGGTTATCCGAATATAATATGTATATGGAGCAAACATCGGGGCCGTGGCGAAGCCACTGCCACTTCATTACTCATTTATTTTAGTCTTTATATATTTATATATAAGTTTAGGATCTGTGTAGCGGCTTGGGCGACTATTCCACATTGTAGAATGGGGCTGGGCACACACGGTGTTCGCTCTGTCGCACTTAATTAGCGGCGATCCGAGCGCGTGGTGAGCGGCACATTTCAGTAGAGGCACCTCAATGCCTGTGGAGGTGCTTTGAGTGCTTGCTGTGGTGCCGGCCTAACAACCCCCCGTAAATATTTAAATTATTATTTTTTGTCCTGTGTGTGTTAACGTGATGATTTTTTTTTTGACGCTGCGGCGCAGGTTGGTTCCCATTGCTGTGCCCGCGTTTTTTTTTGGTGCCTCCGTGGCCGTTGTGTGTGCGGCATCTCTACACCCGCCTTCTCGGTGGGGTTGGCGGCGGTGCCATGTGTGGGGTGTGTTTCTGTGGACAGGTGCTTGAGTCCGCATGCAGAGCCGTGTGCGTTTGTTTTTGTTTTTGTGACGCTGTGAGGTTGCCGGAATGTTTGGTGTCACGGTGGTGTGTGTGCCGTGCTTTCGGTGTCTGCTCCCCTTTTTTCCATTTTGGCTGGGCAATACATAGCACCCACACTCGTCGCTGCACCGCGCCCCGCTGCCCATCTCCCCGTTCTCTCTCTCCCACAAGGACGCAATGAGGATGCAATTCTCAGACAAATGGATGGCCTCGGTTGTCGGTGTCTGGTTTCTCCTGGTGCTGTTTGCAGTTTCTTGCATTCAAGAGATCGAAACCAACGTTGATGCTTACTTGGAGGATGACTTCGCCGCCAACTCTTCCCAGCAGCCCCAGTTACTCCCCCGCACCACTGACGGGGAGGCACTGCGATACGTTCCCCGCGATGTCGTGGACGCGTGGAAGAAGCGAGACTTTCTCATTGTTCTTGGCATTCCCACTGTGGATGTGGAGGCGAGGCAGCGGCGCCGCCACCTGCAGCGGTCGACGTGCTGGCGGTTCCCCGGAGTGGCGACGAGGGCGAACAACTTCACCGGTGCGATGCTCGTGCTGTACGTCCTTGCGCGGCACCCGTCGCACGGCCACAACTACTCTGCCACACTGCTGGAGGAGGCGGCGCAGTGGCACGACGTCCTTACAACCTCCATTGATGAGGGCCGCGTGACGACGAACAAAACCGTTGGTGGCTCCGGCTTTTGGGGCCTGGAGGCTGAGATTGGCATGAGCCGCAAGACATACTTTTTGTTTGACTTTGCCTTGCGCCTGTTCCCCACGGTCCCGTACATTGCGAAGGGTGACGACGACATGTTCCTTCGCGTGCCGCAGTACCTTGCCGACCTGCGCACACTCCCGCGTCGAAAGACATACTGGGGTGTTTTTATTGTACATCGTCCTGGTGATCGCTTCAGGTTTATGAATGGAATGTGTGCGACGCTTGCGAGGGACGTGGCGGAGAAGTTTGTGTCGTACAAGCCGTTGCAGCGTCTGGTGCGTTTGCCGTACAGCAAGGAGAGGGAACCGGAGTTTCTGGGCCTGAACATGGATCACGAGAATGCGATGGTTGGCCGTGTTCTGCACGAGATGCGGTACAAGGACGTGGTCTTCTTTTCTGAAAGGCCATGCCGCTTTCATGACGTGCACGAAGGCTTTGGGGTAAAAAATGTCACTGAGAGTTCTGTTGTTGTGCACCATGTTTGGGAGAGTGACTACGAAACATTGATGCAGCGCTTTGGGAATGACACCTCTCCTGCGCCCAAGCGCTTCAGGTGTAGCAAAGGATGGTACATTTTTGATTGTTGAAATTAATAAATGTTTTAATATTAAATATTGTAGAATGGGGCTGGGCACACACGGTGTTCGCTCTGTCGCACTTAATTAGCGGCGATCCGAGCGCGTGGTGAGCGGCACATTTCAGTAGAGGCACCTCAATGCCTGTGGAGGTGCTTTGAGTGCTTGCTGTGGTGCCGGCCTAACAACCCCCCGTAAATATTTAAATTATTATTTTTTGTCCTGTGTGTGTTAACGTGATGATTTTTTTTTTGACGCTGCGGCGCAGGTTGGTTCCCATTGCTGTGCCCGCGTTTTTTTTTGGTGCCTCCGTGGCCGTTGTGTGTGCGGCATCTCTACACCCGCCTTCTCGGTGGGGTTGGCGGCGGTGCCATGTGTGGGGTGTGTTTCTGTGGACAGGTGCTTGAGTCCGCATGCAGAGCCGTGTGGGTTTCTGGTGTTATTAGTGGTTTTGTGTTTTTTCTGTTTAGCAAATTTTTTTAGTGTTTTTTTTTAGCGCCTGTGTTGTCGCATGGATTTATTATTATTGTTATTTTTGTTGGTGAATAAGAGTTTTGTGTTGCAGCTCGATTTTTTTCTGTTTTTTTTTTTGTGCTGTGGGAGGATGGCCTTCTGTTGGCTGTTGGAATGAAGTTTTTCTTTTTTGCTTTTTATTCTATTTGTACTGTTTTTTATTTTTATTTTTTTGTTTCTGTCTGTCTGTGTCTCTCTCTATGTGGGGGGTTATGTTTGGGATGGCGGCGGAAGGATGGGGTTGAATTATACGAGTAAGGCTCATCAGGCCGAACAGGAGGCGTCAAAGACTCCTGACAGAGGAGAAGTGAGTGCGGGATTTCCACTGGGCAATGTCTTTGCGTTGCAGGAACCGAAGCACGCCCTGGCTGGTTTATCTGGTGCCGCGCAGAATCTTGTGGTCGGCGTGGGCGTTGGCCTTGGAAGCCTGTTGGCACTTCCGGTCGTGAATGGGCATAGGGACGGAGCGAGGGGGGTTGCTAAGGGTGTCGCCATGGGCGTTGCTGCTTTGGTTGGCATGACAACCTACGGCGTGGCGACGGGGGTGAGGCAGTTTGCGAAGGGTGTGTACAACACAAAAGAGGCGGTTGTCGAGGCGGCAAGGGGCGAGCGTTACTGGGACAGTCAGCAGGGCCGTTGGGTGGACGTGCATCTCGAGTCTGCCTTTGCCGAGCTGCCGGCGGGCGATGAGGACCTTTTCACGCAGGCACGCGAGGCGTTTGGGAAGATGTTCACGGGGATGTCTTCCAATACGACCCATGCCAGTGAGGGAGCGGCAGCGGCGCCCTTGAAGGACTATTATGCCATCATGGGAGTTCAAAGGACGGCGACAGCGGCGGAGATTCGCAGTGCGTTTCATCGAAAGGCCCTTGAGATGCACCCAGATAAGAATCCGAACAATGCAGAGGCCACCTTGCGCTTTCAGGAGGTTCTTGAGGCGAATAATATTCTATCCGATGAGGGGCGCCGTGCCCACTACGA